GGACTCGGGGACTGGCCCTTGGCCAGAGCAAGGGAAGAAAGAGAGCCTCTACTAACTTCTCTCAACTTCTTTTAAAAATCCTCCCTCAAATAAGCATACCCTTCCACCCAGTAAATCCCTTCTGAGCATCGAGCCTAAAACAGGATTTAAAACACAAAAAGAACTTTACTAGCAAACCTGCTCATCAACATATAGCTCTGATCTAAGGCTCACTTTGGAAATGCCAATGGCCCAACACCATTAATATATCACGGATCAATTTCATCAAAACACTAAATTCGCATTTGCTTGTGTGCAGTTTTGTGGACCAGAAACACTAGGTGTACACAGAACACCGCACCCAGCCGAACCAAGTGGCGAGGAAATGCCCACATTGCACAGGGATGCACCTCGAACATGTGTCAGGGGCCCGTGGCCCACACCACATCTGGGGTCCCACTTAGCACCCGTCTTCAGATAACCCTCCTCCCGCCACTTCCCCTGCAGCCACGGGTCCTGCCCCCACAGCCACAGTGCCCAGCACGTGGTTTTCACCTTATGGTGCTGTATTTAGTGTAAGATGCTTGTATTTCTTATCTATAAATTTGTGTAAACTACAACCGGTTTTTTAGGTTCCTCTTTTTTTTTTTTTTTTAATGGGCTCCTGCTGCAGGCTGCAGTTTTAAGTGTTCTGCTCTTAGCACCATGTCTTATAAGGTGCCGTTCTTACTGATTTTACTCAGCATCAAGACCTTTTGGGGAAGGCATATTTACATTACAGCAGAACTGACTATGTTATGTAAAGTGCTTAGCACAGCGCCTGGCACATAAATAATAAGCATTTAATCAACTGTGGCTTGCTGGGGAAAAAAAAAAAAGCTAGGGGCGCCTGAATAGCTTAGTCAGTTAAGCTTCTGACTGTTGGTTTCGGCTCAGGTCATGATCTCAGGTGGTGGGATCGAGTCCCACGTGGGGCTCCATGCTCAGCGCACAGTCTGCTGGAAATTCTCTCTCTCCCTCTCCTTCTGCCCCTCCCTCCCCGCCCACACACAGTCTCTAAAATAAATAAAATCTTTTTTTAAAAAAGTGAAATATCCAATAAGATTAAGACCAAGGCAGCACTGAGCCATCCCAGAAAGTATGTAGGAAGCATTTAGAATAATACAGAAAGAGGCTTAAGAATGAAAGATGGTATAAAACGCTGCAGGTATGTAAGATTACACCCTGCGTTAAAACATTTTTTTTGCCATAAAAAAATGGTAAAGTCGGTAAGGAAATATATCAAAATGTCAAGAGCAATTGATGGGACTTAGGGTGATGTTTTCCCTTTTACCTAAAAAAAATTTTCTTTGTATATTCCCTATTTTGCAAAAGCATACACCTCTTAACAGCTTAAAGGTAACATAAGATCAAAACCAAAGTAACTTTCAAGAAGCAGAAAAATGGAGCACCTGGCTGGCTCCGTCGGTGGAGCGGGCGACTCTTGGTCTCAGGGTTGTGAATTCAAGCCCCATGTTGGGTGTAGAGATTACTTAAAAATAAAATCTTTAAGAAGGAGGGGGAAAAAGGCAGAAAAATAATCTCAGCCTGCTAACCCAACTCCTGATGTCTGCTCACTCTGTGCTTAGCACCTGAGTACCCACCCTGCCCCTGTAACAGAAAGCCCGTCCTGCTTGAAGGCAACTTTGTTCCACTCAACATATCAAACACTTCTCTCCTTTCTACCTTGTCTTCAGAATCAAGAGGATTTTTAAGAAGCATTCTGAAATGATACAGGACAAGAATTTTGAAACCATATAAATACTGTAACATTTGCTTTGTATCAAGTAATGAGATAGAAATGATTTTCTTTTGAAGTCAATTTGCATGGCATAAGGATTAGGGGAGAATGACCTTGATTCTGCCCAGAATGAATCCTACCCTCCTTTTTCTCTCCTGAGGCCAACTGTTCATAGGTATATCAGGGAAAATAGGAGAAAGGGGACTCCTATCTTGAGGTTGCGATAGTTTTCGGTTTTGAGCTTCTGCAAGACGGTCGTCAGGAAATCTGTAGTCAGAGTCCTGTCCTAACAAGCATGTGACAAATTGAGATTTCTAAGGCTGCATACACCAGGGAAGTCCTCAGGGCTGACTTCCCCACGCCGGCTGCCAGGACAACAGAGAGAAGAGATGGTGCTCCCCAGTTCAGAGCCAGCTAGCTGCTCAGGCACTGTGTCAACATGTAAGTTCTGGTCCCAGCCATAAAATCTAGATGGAACTTCTGGCCTTTGCTGCCCCGGTGGCCATGCCAGGGGACAATGAAGTGGAAAGGAGTTATGGTCACTGATGAGAGTCTGTAGTAAAGTATTACCGGATTCAACTTCAAGGGGCTGAGCAAGCAGCTCTTCAGAGGAGGCGGCATGGGTGACAGGGATCTTCAATCCAGGGTGGGTCTTCCATAGTGGGTAACTAAGGAAAGTGTTAAAGTGAAGCTCAGAGCCTTGGGTTCTAGTCCCTTCTTCTCCAGGGGCCCCAGTATCCCCACATATAACATGAGGTTGAGTTGGATGAGCGGGTTACACCCCAAGGCCAGGCAACTGATGTAATATGTCGCTCAGGTGTATCAACCATCGCACAGCTCTCTAGCTCTAGCTCCCTCTTGTCTTAACTATGAGAAAATCATGGATTCTGAGGTGGTGGGGAGGGAGCTGTGGTGCAGCCAGCTCACAGCTCTGGGAACCAGATTCACTTAAAAAGGGTGCACTTGCCCTGGATAACCGGGGGACAAAATAACTTGTGAATCAGATAGCTCCTTTGTATGAAACTTCCAGAGTAGCAGAGGGGTTTTACAGGACTGGAGCCAGCGGAAATGACAAGTGAAACTGACAAGGGGAAATCTTACCAGCATAAAAGTAAAGTTCTGCATTTAGGCTTAAAAGAAAATGAGGGGCACCTGGGTGGCTCAGTGTTTTGAGTGACTGACTCTTGGTTTCAGCTCAGGTCATGATCTCAGGGTCGTGAGATTCAGCCCTGCTTGGGCTCTGTCCTCAGCATAGAGCCTCCTTGAGATTCTCTCCCTCCCCCTCTGCCAGCCCCCGCCCCGCCCCCCACCGCCAATGCTCCCGTGCTCTCTCTCGCTCTCTAAAATAAATAAATAAAATCTTTAAAAAAGAAAGAGAAAATGAGCCATTTGGAGCCAGGATACACTGGGAGAGAGGACAAGTCTGCAAGTGAAAGCCAGCCCCTATCAGAGAAAAAATATTAGTGCGAGCCAACAATATGCACTGAAAACACCAACTGAACCTTCTGGAGGAAGGAGGATGTAGCAAGCTGACCAAGGGTCCAGCTGCCTTCATGATGGCCAGGGCACTTCTGGAAGGACAGGGTCTGTCTGGAGAAGGCAAGGACCCTAGCCGCGTGTCCAGGGGGGGCGCGGCAAGTCTGAGGACAGTCTCCTAGGGCCGCTAGGAGGAAGAAGCCACCCTGAGAAGGGTAAAGAAAGATGTGCCGCCTGTCCTCAGACACATGCAGAGCCCTCAAGAAGAGAAGGGCAGCAAATCAAGGCAGCCAGAAAAGCGCAGGTGTGAGCAATACAGAGGCCTGCTTCTCCAACCACAGGATCTCTACTCCAGCGGGGGTTCCACCCTGTAACAGGAAGTGCGGGCTCCGAGGGGAGGTGGTAAGGTAACAAACAGGCACCCAGATGGGCCTCGTTGGCCTCCAAACTGCCTCTAGGAGCAGCACTTCTCAAAAGTTCTGTGCTTAGCCATCACCTGAGCATCTTGTTAAAAGGCAGACTCTAACCTAGCAGGGCTGCGGTGGACCCGCCATTCTGCATTTCTAAGGCACTCCCAGGTGATGCTAACGCTGATCCTCCAGGGACTACACTTGCGTAATTGGCTCTAGACCCCCTGCAAGGCGGAGAGCAAGTCCCGACCAGGGAGGCCTAGAGAAGCCTCCTCTGTGGTCCAGCACTCCTGAGGTCAGAGTGGTGTACAAGCTACGGGAGCCCCAAGGAGGGTGCCCGTGTCTTAGGCAGGAAGGATCCCTCCTGGAGTTACACAACAAAGTAACATGGGGCCATTCGCTCAGTAAATGTTGCCTGGGGGAGAGGAGAAAAGAGAAAGGGTGGCGTCAAGCCCTATGTGTTTGGTCCCCAATACAACTCAGCATTGGTTCACAGGAGCAGGAACCAGACAATGACCTGCTGCAAACGTGCCTAGAATTAATCAGCTCTGCCCCACCCATGCCTCCACAAAAGCCCTCTGCCCCCTTATTCCTGCAGGGAAAGGTGATTGAGCACTGGAAGGCTCCCCGGCTGTGACACACACACACACACACACACACACACACACACACGGAAAGGTGATTGAGCACTGGAAGGCTCCCCGGCTGTGACACACACACACACACACACACACACACACACTCTCTCTCTCTCTCTCTCTCTCTCTCTCTCTCTCAAATCCGATCCCCGCAGCGCAATATTCCCAGGGCCCTGACCTCCCCTTGCTACTGCCCAGTCCGAGCCCACCTTTCCAAGCCTAATCCCTCACTCTAGAGCCACCCTTTTTCCCGGCTCTGGCTCATTTTCAGGTGTGTCCCCAACTCCACCGATCCCAACCCTTCCAGACTCGGCCGAGTTTCTCTGTCTCCACGCCTCGGCATGCTCACAGCATCTGTGTGGCCTGTCTTAAAAAGTATGCCTAAGAATCAGTTTTACGGCGGATGCGTCGTCTCGGATGCCAAGGTCCTATAAGCGCCCCTTTGTCTCCCCCTGCGGCGCCGAGCGCGGTGCGGGACGCACAGGAAGTACTCAGAAACGGAGCTGGGGGCGGCGGCCGTGCCCAGAGGGGGTGCCCAGCACGCAGGGGCCAGCCGAGCCGCGTGAGGGTCCCCAAGGCGGAGCGCGGGGCCCCGAGTTCAAGCCCACAGCCCGTCTGCGCCCTCCCGAGCCGTTGGCCAGAGCTGATCCGGGCCGGCGCCCCTTCCTTCCGGAGCTGTTCCACGCGCCCGGGGCCACCCACCCCCAGCGCCCTTACCTTGTAAACCTTTCCGAAGGCGCCGTCGCCCAGCTCGCCCACGATCTCCCACACCTCGTTGGGGTCCACGTCCCGGCGGACGTGCTCATATTCGCGGGACTTTCTCTTCTCGAAGGTAGACAGGCGCAGGATGCGGCGGAAATTGGCGAAAGCCATGGCTGGGGGCGCGCGAGCCGGGGGGCGAGGTGGCGCCGGCTCCGGCTCGGGCTCGGGCTGTGGCTCCGGCGGCCGCGAGGAGGAGGGGCTGGAGGACGCCGCGGCGCTCGGGGGTTCTCCCCAGACCCGCCCTCCCCCGCAGCCCGACCCCGGTCAAGTGCGCCCCGGGCTGCGCGCGGCGGGAGCACCCGGAACCGCGCAGGCGGCGAGCGGTCCCCGCCCCCGCTCGGTCCCGTCCCCGGGGCCGCCTCCCGCCTGCCCGCGCCGCTCACGCCGCACTCCGGCCCAGCCAGCGAGCCCCGGACGCGTTCCCGGGACCTGGCCCCGCGCCCACCCACGGCCCGGCTCCACCTGCCGCTCCCCGGCAGCACCCGGAGACCCCTTAATTGGCTGCGGGCGCGCCCCGGCTCCGCCCGTCGCCGCAGGGCACTCTGGAAACTGTAGTCCCCCGCGCGCCGCGCGTCCGCGAGCCACGGCAGGGCTTTAGGAGAGCTTAGGGCATCCCTCGGCGGCACCGGCCCGGGTCTGCGAGGCCGGCCGCGCCGCGTGGCTCGCTAAAGGTTTGTGGGAGCGAGGGGGGAAGCAGACTGGCTTTCGCGAACGCCCACTGATGGTCGCCCGAAGGCCAAGGAGGTGAAGGGCTTTAATCACTGAATCTGCCCCGCCACTACCCCGCAAGCCTGCTTTGCTCGCGCCTACTTTTCAGGTAGGGGACGCCCGGCGGGCAAAGGCTCCAGCCAGCCCCCAGGCTGCACATCCTGCTGGAGGATCCCGTGCGGTTTCCTCGGCGTGGTGCTGCCTCCTAGTGCACGAAATGCTGCGCCCCTTGCGGCCGCCGCCAGTCCCCGGAGGCCGGGGCTTCCCGGCTCGTTTCCTGCTTCCCAGGGGCTCTCCCGCACCAGGATCCACAAACTGGCCAGCATGAGAGGGCCGGGAGAAAGAGCTCCTTGGGGAGTTTTTAATCACGTGCTTCATGATGGATCTTAAGATATGTTTGCATATTTAGTAAAAACTTTCTTAGTCTTAATTTCGCAATTTTAAAAACTGAGCTCATTACAGACAGGAGTGAAGTTTTCTTTGACCTGCATCATCCTTGATCCTGGCTATTTGATTTGCTCCACTGCCCCTGTAGCAGCAACTGTTCACTGTCTATAGGACAATTATACTTTTATCTAAATCTACAAAGTGGTTCTGTGAAAATTGATAAAAAGGAAACCTCACTAAAGGGGAGTTCAGAGCTAAAAAGGGGAGTCGGGAGCACTTGATGTCAATTACAGGAAAATTGTCAATTGCAGACTCCAGCGTAAGAATACTCAACAGGAACATCATCAATTACAACGGGGAAAGATGCACATTACAACTCCGGGAAGAAATCCACTACTCTGGTAACTCAGCCAATGGAAAACCATTATCACCCTGAACTCTTGCTTTTCTCCAGTACGGTTTCCTTCAAAACAATTCCTCCCAACTTCCTCCTTCTCCATAAAATAAAGTTCCTCTCCTTTGTTTGTTGGACTTGCCTATGGTTTTTCCTTGGCTTGCGTGTCCTGAATTGCAATTTTCTTTTATTCTCGTATAAACCCATTTTGCTGGTAAAATAACTGGCTGTTTTATTTTTTAGGTTACATTTCCAAGTAGAGCATGATGAGGGGTGCGCAGCCTGAAAAGGTTATTATGGTTACTCTACCTAATAATCAAATGCAATGTCAGCGAATATCACACTCCAGGAATCGCCACCCCTATGGAGAATGTGAATGTTGAGATGTTTTCAGCCCTTCCTGAGCAGTGTGCAAATTCGAAATGTTACAGAAGCCTGGGATGCTGGTGGTGGTCTGCACAAAGGGTCCCCCGAGTAAAGGCTGCCAAGAGGTTTGAAAGGTCCCACACCTTAGTGAGCAATTAGAATTGTAGAAGGTCTTTATCACTAAAAGAAGGAAAACTCTCACTGAGTAAGCCCATGTTTAAACCTCCCCCAACTAGCTGAAAGGCAGGTCTTTTCAATAGTTTCCGTCAGTTTGACCAACTCGGTTAAGAGGTGGGGTAACAAAGGGAAAGGCTTTCCCACTGAGAGGCAGAGGCTGTGGCTTCACAGAAACTGTAAGTCTGAGGGGACGCAGGTCAGAGCCTCAGCTCATCCCCAAGCCTGTGCCAAGCCACCCAGGGCTCTGTGACTGGCTCTGTGATCTCTCCAGAAAAAAATGAAACGAGACACAAAAATGGAGAGGTTCACTCAAAAACTGTTAAGTGGAAGAAGCCAGACACAAAAGACTACGTATTATATGATTTCACTGATATGAAATGTCTAGAAGAGACAAAAGACCACATATTTTATGATTCCATTTTTATGAAATATCTAGAAAAGGGAAATCCATATAGACAGAAAGTAAATTAATGGTTGCCAGGGGTGTAAAATGGGAATTAGCTGTGAATAGACATGAGGAATCTTACAAGGGTGATGAAAATTTTCTTTATATAGATATAGATTTATTTAATTATTAGAGAGCATGCAGGGGGTAGGGGCAGAGGGAGAGAGAAACCCAAGCCGACTCTGCGCTCAGCACAGAGTCATGGGGCTCCATCTCATGACCCTGAGCCAAAACTAAGAGTCAGAAGCTTAACCTACTGTGCCACCCAGGTGCCCCTGATGAAAATGTTCTAAAATTAGATTATGGTGATGATTTCACAACTCAGTAAATTTTCTGAAAATCACTGAATTATATACTTGAAATGGGTGAATTTTATGATATATAAACTATACTTCAATAAAGTTGTAAGAAATCAGAGAGGTTCAACAAATCTAAAGCTACATCTCAGAAATAGCTAGTAGACAACAAGACTGGTCAAAGAAAAAAAAATTTAAAAGAGAGAAAGGAAAAATATGCACCAGAGACAATGAAAAGAGGGATATACTGTATTATAAAGATTTTTAAATCACAAAATGATATTTTAAACAAATTTACATAAATACATTTTTTTTTAATTTTAAGTAATCTCTCCATCCAACATGGGGCTTGAACTCATGACCTCGAGATCAAGAGTCACATGCTGTACGACTGAATCAACCAGGCACCCCAATATGAGTAAATTTTAATCTACATGAAATGGGTAATCATTTGCAAGAAAATATAAATGATATAAATAAATAATATATAAATGATATATGGATACATAATTTTAATAAAAAACAAAAGCCTAAATAAACTAATAACCAATAAAGAAATGAATCAAGAATCAAAAGTCTGCTTCTACTGAAAGACATCAGGAATTCTACTTATTTTATGAGATGAGATTTACTGCAACTAGATAAAGATAGTAAAATAAAATTATAGACTAATTTCACTTATGAATTAAAGAGAGAAAAATAAATAAAATGCTAGCAAGAAGAAACCAGAGGTGAATAAAAAATCAGGACCAAGAAAGGTTTATTCAGGAATAAAAGAATGGTTTTACATCAGAAAAGCCATCAATGTAAGACATCGCATTGACAAAGGAAAGAAGAAAATCACAGTCACAATAGTCACAGAAAAAGCATTCTTAGGTTGGATTCCCCCAAAGGGAAGGATCAGGATTTGAGTGCAAGTACTTTATTTGGGAGGTGATGCCAGGAGGCACCAATAGGAAGTAGGAGGCATGAAGCAAGTAAAGGATGCACTTTTGAGCTGATAACTGCTGAGGCCACCTGGGGCTAAATCCTAGTGGGGAATTCTGGGGATCAGGATACAACACACTTCAGAGTCAACCCACCTGAGAGGCAAGGAAATGGGAATTTTTCCTCCAAGTCCCATCTGTCCTTGGCCAAGGGCTGCTCCCTAAGGTAGCACTTCCAGCCTGCTCTGCTTGAGAGACAAGAAAACACCCCTAACTTGAGAGATGTCACAAGGCTTTGTAGAGCTTCTACTAACAGTCCTTATATTTCTTATTTCTTTTCCTTTCCTATAGCATTTGCTAGAATCTCTAGCTATATGTTAAATAGCAACGGTGAAAATGGAAATTCTTGTCTTGGTCCAACATTTAATGGGAAAGGGTTTAAAGTTTCTCCTCTAGGTATGATGTTTATGAAAGGATGGTGGCAAATGATCTGTACACAGAAGTTTCCTGATATTCCTAATTTGCTAATAACTGTTTATCATATCCTATTATATCATTGTTATATCATCTACTATAAAGTAGAACATCATAAAATATTTTATGCATTTATCATATAAGTTAATCATAATATTAATCATATGATTTTTCTCCTCTAGCCTAAAAACATGGTGAATTTCACTGATTAAAATATTCTTGCATTCCTGGAAAGTAAATATTTTGCCTGGCAAATCTTACATTTAGGATTTTCATATCTATTCACAAGTCAAATGGGCCCATACTTTGTACTGTCTTTATCTGGTTTTAAAATCAAGATACTGTTAAAATAAAAAACAAATGCAGACCAGGCTTGAAAATTCCCCAAGCAGACAAAACAATTTTAGTCATACAAACAAAGCTTAATTTAGCTTATTTTGCAAGACTAACTTGACCTGGGTCATTTCTTGCATATGCCTCTTGAAATCACAAGCAAAACTTGAACTGTTTCCCAAGGTTGATATAAGGTAACCACTAACCAGTTCCTTATCATTTAAGAAAATTCTGATAACCAACCACTGTGAGAAATAGACAGTCACTGCTTTCTCACTATATAAACTGTTTTATAACAATATACCCCTGAGCCTCATTCCAGGTTTCGGTTTGAGTGTTCTTGGTCTGCAAAATGTCTTCTTGGTGTGTATATCATAAACTTTTCTAATCACTACATAAGTGATTTGTTGGCTTTACTACTATTATTTCTGAACTTTTTTTTTTTAAGATTTTACTTTTAAGTAATCTCTACACCCAATGTGGAACTTGAACTCACAACCCCAAGATCAAGAGTTGCATGCTCTACCAATTGAGCCAGCCATGTGCCCCTCCTGTCTCACTTTCTGATTGCAGTTGGTTTTTTTTGTTTTGTTTTGTTTTTTAAGATTTTATTTATTTATTTGCCAGAGAGAGAGCACAAGCAGGGAGAGCATCAGGCAGAGGGAAAAGCAGGTTCCCTGCTGAGCAAGGAGCCAGACACAGGACTTGATCCCAAGACTCTAGGATCGTGACCTGAGCTGAAGGCAGACACTTAACCAACTGAGCCACCCAGGCATCCCTTGATTGCAGTTTCTTTTCTTTAATCTATTTTTTAAAAGATTTTATTTATTTATTTGAGAGAGAGAGAGCGAGCATGAGGGGGGAGGGTCAGAGGGAGAAGCAGACTGCCTCCTGAGCAAGGAGCCTAATGTGGGACTTGATCCTGGGACTTCAGGATCATGACCTGAGCTGAAGGCAGTTGCTTAACCAACTGAGCCACCCAGGCACCCCTAATTGCAGTTTCTTATTG